GTCATGTAGTGATAGAATAAATAGATTGTTTTTGTTGCCACATCAGTAGGAAAAAGGTTAAGAAAATAGAACATGCCAATTAAAAATGCTGGATGTGTGATGATCTTTATGCACCATTCAATAACTTGCCTAAATCTGTCTATATTTAAAGTCAGATTGCTAATTAAAAACCTGTAAACAACTAAACCTGAACCAAACAAGGTTGGGTGAGTACCCGTGTTTATTAAGACACCACAATACAGAGAGGAGGATAAGGGAGGTTCATAAGTAGATAAAATATCTCCAAGGCTTGCCATAGCGAGCTGCAGCAAAGAAAAAACAGATTTTTAATAAGTTAATGCTGCATTTGTCTTTGCTTGCTGATTGCTTGATCAATGCTCTTCATATGCCACCTATTTGGGTGACTAAGAGTTTGGTTTACAATCAAAGTTCCAACCAATATTTGGAAAAGCACCTTATATCCACTGTGAAGTATGGAGGATTAGTTATGCTGTGGGACTGTTTCTCTTTTACTTTTCTTTTTTAATTTCAGTTAAAACCTTTTTAATGAGCGCATGACATGTTCGGTTCACAAGGACAAACCATCATTTTATTCTAAGTGTTTTTTAAGGCTTCTTTAACAAGGGCTTCACCTAAATGTTGAGGGTAAATCCAGAATAGATAATAAAGTAATTTAAATGATAAGTAACCTTTTCTACTTAAGAAACAGCTTTAATTGCAAAAAAAAAAAAAAAAAGTAAAATGTACCAACACCAAACTAACTACCTAACCCTTCAGAAGTTGGGATGATATAATTAGGGGTTATAATAATCTTTTAAATGATCTACTTGTTCAAGATAACAACTATACTGCATTTTTTTAACCACATTTCCAGCCAAATGCATTTAACATAGGTTTAGGCACTTTAACATGCTTTGAAGGTTACATAGATTAATAAAAGCATCTTTTCCTAAAAGCTGCTGACAACATCCACAGAGGATTATAAATGATTCCTCTAAACAACCTGAAAATAGAAAGTAATTTCAGCACCATGAAATTCCACAATAGATGCATATGAGCGTTTATGCACAGCAGAGATCTCATGCACTGGGAAAAGAAATCTGCAGATCTGTTTTGTACTTCCTGCTATTCTCAAAATTCCTCAGACACTTTTTAAACGCCATATCCAATCAGAGAAGCTGAAATTGCAATCTGCCACACAACATGTTTTGCTCCACTTTATTAGGCCCGAAGATAAACCTCATGGATAGAACACAGGCTTTTGAGTAATGAACGCTCCCTCAGCATAACAAGATCCTTCCCTCCTTATGCCCCTCTTCTCTCAATTTGCTGCATGTATGAGTTTAGTCGGTCATTTTCCTGATGCTCCTTTAGAGCAAGACCACGTCTGCACTGATAATGTATCAAAATTTATTCATTTCTGAATCCCGCCTGCATAATAAGGAATTAAAGAGCTGAATTCTCAGTTTGATGTGGACGTGTCCATGTAGAATGAAATGTTAATGTAATATTTTTGTAGTCCATGGATGTAAGATGTTTGAAAGTACTGCATGCAAGGAGGGAAACTTTGAACACCTCTGTGTGCTGCTAATTAATACCCTTCACTGGTTTGAGGTTCGTAGGAAACATTTACGAGATCAAGCCAATAATTTTCCGAGGTTTGGGCCAGAGGACAGTGAACATTGTTTCAAAAGCCTCAGCTCATGTTTATGTTGGATTTTGAGTCCAATTTTTAAACACCGTCCTGTTGTGCAAGCCAGCCTCGTTTCAGTAACTCTACTGCTCCAAGACTGTTGCATCCAGTTTTCATATGTAGCAGAATCCATTCTTGCCTCCATCTGTTCTTTGTTTGCAGTGCCATTGATGCAATTCAGAAAACCACTGCTACCGGTTGGAAAGCTCTGGTTTCACTAAATTCAAACATTTATCTTCTCTGATGGTGACAAACTTACCCAGATTTTTCCTGACATAAGTAAGAAGTCGACTTCTACCCTGTTCCTGCTTACTACATGTAATGTTTCTTTTTCAATATTGGCAAATACAGACCTTGAGGGACAATGCACAATCATTTTTTTTCCCTGTTACCAGCATATGGAGGTGCAGTTTTGCCTTTCTTCCCAACAGATGTCCAGATCTATCAGAGGCTTCTCTCAGTCTGTTGGATCTCATTTCTACATCAGCTGTTACCCTTTACTGCACTCTTTAAATGGCAAGCAGACCACAGTACGAACAAAAGTAGGCAAGACTTCATTTGATATCTTTACATAATGCCCATGTTGTTTGTTAGACAAATTAAAGGGTATATTGGGCGATTTTTGTGAATTTTTTAAACATGTGCGAGAGCATGCAGGGACCCATTTATCCTTGTGCACGCTCTGTTTAAAAGTTCCTGTTTGCATCTCTCATACAATATTACTTTCCTAAAGAAGATTTGCAATTTTTCCACTATGTCTGACTCACCACTGTTAGGTGAAAATGGGGACGAGTGTGTGGGACCGCCTTACGTTAACATTTCACCAGAATGATTGACAATTAGGAGGACCACTTATATAGATGATCCTCCCGGAAAAAGAACATCCTCCACTATACCTTTAATGTAGATTTTTAGTCAGCCAGTGGTTTGAAGGAGAGCACTTGCTTTGGCTGACATAGCTCATCATGCTTAACAGTAGTAGTAATAAAGTTTTAAACGTTTTATTTTTGTGACCTCACTTTTAAAGAAAGGGTCACTATCATTTGCTTTGCCCCCCCTCCACACATTTCATAAATCAACCCATAGAAGTTGTCTAAGCATACCCCATCATTAGCATTAAATTAAATATGACCTTTGTTTGCAAAAATGTTGTCTGCAAATTTATGGCAAATCTGGTGGCATCTGTGTATCTGGTGCAATGCTAATAACCCAAACAACCTGTATATCGTTAACACGTTCCAGGCATGTTAATTATCTGGTGCAAACACCAGGACCCATTCAAAGAGACGTCATGTGAGGCAGAATGTAATCATGTTTACTCTTCGAGATTAAAATAATGTGTGCAAAGCTAAAACATTTTTTTTTTTTTAAAGTTCCTGCAAGACAAAAGTAGGACATGCACATGAAGAGGGGGAGAGAAAGCCTATCTTCTAAATCACATATTTAACAGACAACAGTCAGGCTGGTGTTCCAGGCTGACTGAGAAATATAAAACACCTCAGTTTGATTTTAAACTGAAGCGTGCTGCTGCCAGCTGAAGCCATATCAAGGCCTCTGGAGGAGTTTAGCCAGAGATGGCTCTGCTCTCCCAAAACGGCTGCTTGCATCGCTGGGGAGATGTTTGTCTTTGGCTCTTTTCCAGATAAGGACAGTTGTACTGCTCCCAGCAATGAATAGATTCACCAGCTGCCAGGCTAAAGCAAGCAGACCTTGTCAGATAGTGGGTTAACTGGTCTGCAGCTTTCTCTTCCCCAACTGTTCAATGTTGTCTCTGCTCGGATTATACAGTAAGACGTTTAATCTTTTGTATATTCATGTACCGATTTATGTTATGAAAGAGGCATATGTTCATTTCTGTTTTTTTATGCACCTCAGTTCACACATTTTTTAAAGAAGAATAAATGTGCTTTTGTTTTAAAATTTTCGAAAGGTGTTATAAACAGAATCCAGGTATGAGTTGTGTGAAAACTCTACCAATTGTGTGATCAATTCTGTTCGCAGAAACACATTTTCCAGGAAGCTATGTGAAGCTCTCAGTCAGATGTAGATTGTCCCACCTCAGGCGTCATTATCGACCAAAATAGCTGCTGTTTTTACAAAGTGGCTGTGTACACAACGCATCTCAATGCGCTCACACACCTGCAGCGCTACATCCGATCAGGCAGTGAAACACGCATGATGTCCAACATAATGTTGATGGAAGGATGACCAATAATCCAGGGAATTAGACTAAGTTTGAAAAGAAAAAAGGAATATATAAGGACAGATGGGTCACAGATGAGCTGCACTCCCTGGAGTTTGTTGATCGTCTTTAACCAGATTCACCTCGAAGGTTATTCATGCATTTACAAGCTGACCAGAGATGCAAACTGGTCTTCAGCTATTGCTAAAATGTCTTCACTTGTTAACAGCTGGAAGGTGTTTTAATGGATCCAAACCCCTCAGGGTTTGTTTCAAGTTGTTAATAGGATGTGAAGAGAGTGCTTCCCTCTCATAAACCTGATGCAAAAGTAAATGATTGTTGTCCATGAGTAACAGTGAAAATAATGCAAATTCAAAAACGCACTGATAACATAAAGAGGAGCAAAGAAAGCCAAAGGAAAACTGTGTCCATTTTTATTGAAAATATTTCCACATTTATGAATACAAATTAAAACAGAGATAATTATGATAAGCAATTCCAGAAGGAATGTTGCTATGAAGATAAAAAGCATTTTCATCATGGCTTGGTTTGACCCTTTTGCAAATACATTTACTTCACACAAATGGTATAAAAAAGGAGCCAGAGAAAATAGAAGTTACAACTTAAAGCAAATTACATTCAGCACAATGTGTACAGTTTTAATTAAAAATTCTATACTTTCCTTTATTTCGTACAGCCTTATTTTTATGCTTTTTGTACCTTTCTGGGGAAAAAATATTATTATTCAACATATGAAAAATGGTTTGTTAACCATGCTCTTTTTCTTGTGGTTGTAATAATAAAAAAAAAAGCTGTGCTTTGTGTTAAGTTCTATTCAAATGTGCTTAAAGTTATTTAAAGTCCTCAGAAATACTGAAATCGCCCAATTTTCTAAACTTTTGGACAAGTAATCATTCAGTCAGTAGGATAAAAACCAAAATACAGATGGGTAAAATGAAATTAAGTTACAAAAGATGATAAAGTATTTTATTCAAATATGAATCAATGTAAAAGCAAATCAATGCAAATGTTAAAAGCTTCTAGATATTTGTTTGGAAGTGCTTAAAGAAAAGAAAACATTTGAATTTTAAAAGAAAAAATGCCCTTAAAAGACTGTGTAGGAACCCAGGTTTTATATTAATAAAGTATAATAATGGCTTTATTCTTTATTTGTTATATAAATTTATACTTAAAGAGATTATTTTAATATGAAATATAACAAAATAACAGAGGATGAAAATACAAATATTTTAAAAGAACATAAAGCATACAAAGTTGTAATTAACAAATATAATTGATACAGGTATAGTTATATAAAACAACAGTATCTAATGTGCAATCAGAAGCGAGGAATAAGGAAGAAGAATATAAAAAGCCCTTATATGGAGGTTTTCTGCAATATTACATACGTCAGTCAGGTATACAGTAGAACTGCTGAGCAGTTTCTCTTTTTTAAGCACACAAGCTAAAATTGATGTTTATATAAAAATCATGTTGGCAGGAACTTATCTGGATACTGTTGTACTTCATCTTTTTGGAAATTATTAAGTTTTCAGTACTCCATTAAGTATTAAGTACTCCACACTCAGAGCTTTCATATTTTTAATTGTGGTGTTTCATGGCTATCATCCTCTTATTAATGTTGCTCCCTTTAGATAATGTTTTACAAGGACAATATTTTATTTGTGCGAAATGCATGCTCTTCTGTAATGTCGGATCAAGACGTGTTTTACAACGCTCTGAGTCTGGCCAGCAGAGCCTCCACGTCGGGTTCTCCGTTTTCCTCAGCGGAGGAAGACAGGGAAGCAAGATTCCCCACCTCATCCGTCTTTTTCTCAGCCAGCTTGACCACCTCTCTCTCCTCTGCCTGGTCTCTGTCCAGCCCACAGCTGTGACCCGGAGTGTGCTTGTACTTGTGGCCTGCTTCAGAACAGGCAGAAGCCTTGGCCTTAGTGACAGATGGATGGCCCTCAGATTCGCTGCGCACCTCCTTGGCAGGGGGAGCTTTCGCCGCCACCGAGCCTGCATTTACATACTGCCGGGAGCGAGACCTTTGTAAAGGTGCCTTGTTGTTTTCTGTGTGGGAAATAAAAAAAGACAAAGAGGTGAGAACAACAGTGAAAAGAAGAATGGGGGTGAGAAAATGCGTGACCGACTCTAAATTAATTAGAATGCAGTGAGGTTAATCAGATTACAGATTAAATTATAGAGAAGATGCACAAGAGTGACTAGAAAGTGCAATGACAACGCAGCCAACATAAAAGTATCAGGAAGTGATGAGCATTTTAGCAAGCATGTTGATGTGCAAAATAAATGTTCATGCATATGGTTCTTCTGGATGAATAGACATAAATACAGAGCATACGCGCATTGATGAGGATAGATTTTCTGCAGCAGACTGTAGCGTGCAGCCCGCTCACTATGATGAAATGGATATGGCTGATCAACTGCAACAGAAACTCAATAACATAGTATGTTGGCCTTTTCCAATCTCCTATTCTCTTTCACGAATGTCTCACAAGTCGCCCCCACACCCAGCTCCACCTCCCTCGTTTCCACCATAATCATCCATTCTCCTTCTGTAGCTCCTCTGCTCTAACAGAAGTCCTCTCCATCTTTCCCTATTCCTCAAAAAAACATTCCCGAGCAGCCAGTGGAACAGAGCGACGCCGAGACGCCAGAATCAGACCTGCATTCTGAATTATACTCCCTGTGAGTAGATCTTAGACTTCATCATCAGTATGTGCGCACTGGAAGAGGAGGCGAAATCCATATTCATGTGACCTTGAGTGTGAGACTGAGAGGAGCGGCGAAAGGAAAGGCGCCGGCGCATTTAAAGTTTCCCGAGCCTGAAATGTCTGGCAAACAGGAGTCAACACAGCAGAGCAGAACACAGCGACCCGCTCTGTCAGCCAATCGGTAATGAGTTTGGAGCGTGGCCAGTCAGTCATGACAGTGTGTTTTATGGGCCGGGCTGACGAATGACAAGGAACGTCCCTGAACACCACCTCTGACAAATAAATAAGGATAAAGGGAGCAGAGCCGGGAAGAAGGACCCCAAGTGCAAAATAAGCAAAGAAAGCCAACAATCACACTCACGACATTCACACAAAAAAAGTAAACAAGAGGCAGTGAGGGGCGAAATGAGTAGCATGTGTTTACTTTGCTGGTATGACTGAACATTAAGCAGAGCTGGAGATCCAATTCTTGGCTTGCTGTTTCACTTTCTTTTTGTCTTTACTTCCTGTTGTAAAAGTCCCAACAGTAACAGCTAATAATTACTCCCCACGATCTATGTCCCCAGTTTCCCCGTCTCGTCCTCTCTGCTTTGTCTTCCCTCCAAAACGTTGGCATCTGTGCCTGTATTTCTTAGCAGCGCCACACAAACACACTTCCTTAACACATAAATCACTCAGATTCAGAGCTGAAGCTGTGGGAGTTATGCATTCTCTAATCAAGTACTTGCATTTTGACATCTCTGTTAAACCGACACCAAGGAAGGGGGGCAGGCAGACGGATTTTCATTGTAGAAATTTTAAGATGAAGTGGCATTAGCAGAAATTCTTACCTCCCTTTCAGGATTTCATGAATCCTTAATTATCATTTTTGAAAATCTACAGAATGTGGTATCATTACACATATACATTTTACACTTCAGAAAGAAGTGAGAATAGATAAAACATGCATGCTTGAATAAGATGTTTCATCTAAAAGCAATTTTTTCTTTCTTTTCCTAACAGGGATCTGACTTTAGTACTGAAGATGATCAAAGTGCTGGTAAGTTCAGTTCTTTCCTTACTCTGCCTGCCTGTGACACCAAAATGCCCCGTCCTTTGAAGCCTCCCGAGCTTCTCGCCATACGCCTTCATCTAAGCCGTAAAACACATCAGAGAGATGTAAAACATACCTCATCTCACAGGTTTGACTCATTTAACCAAGAGCTGACAAAGGGTGCGGGGGAGAACGTGTCGGGTCAAATTTTAATCAAATTTGCTACTCATGGTGGCCTTGGATCTAAAAACTAGAACTCTCTCTAGAGGGCATATTACGACGGCTAGGCCATACAATGCAGCAAAGGTCGATCTGTTGTCTGTGCAGGTTGGGCAAAAATGAATCAAATAAAAAAAAAAAAATGTCTCAACTTCTTAAATCAGTTGACCTACTAATAGTTATATAGGTGCTTTGATGAATTAACATTGCGCTTTAGCTCTGATTAATGGTTATACTAATGCCCCACTTACACTAGCCCTCTGAAACAGAGCTTGGATTAGTTGACCATGCCAAATTTGGTTCTTACCTATGCCTGTCACGATAATCAATAAATCAATTATTGCGACAATTAATCGTTCAGCAAAATTTGTTATTGTGACAGGCCTATTCTTACAACCATTTATACATCACGCTAGCACAGTTCCTCGCCTCCTATCAGCGGTCCATGATACTAAAAGTCTCAGGACAGGAATTTCTCAAACAAAAATGGCGGCACCCATAACATTCAGTAGCTTATATGCCTGGATAGGGTCCTCTGTCCAAATTTTAATAAGAGCCTCGGTCTCAGCATCATCCCATGTTACCCCAAGCTATTTTGATGCCATTTATCGTTAATAGGCTGAGAACCCAAACAACCCCAATTCCTAAGGGGTGAACGCGTTCATCCGCTTTAATCTGCATGTTTTTTTAAGCCAAAACTAGGCTTTGTTTTTGGTCCACTCTATAAAGCCTCATATTCAACACTATTTCTGACATTTTGAATTGAAAAAGCTTCCTGGATGGGAAGCGAAACGTCTTCACACTTGGAAACAAAGTCCTTTGGATTTTTTTGTTTTTTTTTACTTTTTTGGAATGACTAGAACCTGGATGACTGAGAATTTTTACCAGCTTAATAGGCTCACAAGAAGTTAATGTTGTGAACAGCTGAAGAGATCTGTGACTTGCAAAGCTGGATGGCGGAAAAACCTGTGAAGTTAGTCACCTGACTGCAAATAGGAGATGATGCAGTCTGCAATGCACTCTTTGTCATCAGACACCCGAGCCACAACCGAACCATGCCAAGACCCTACAGTTGAACTAGTGCTAGATTTTGGCGCTAGTTTTACGCATTTTTTCTGGTATGGTCCAGTTCAGTTGTGTTCCATTTAAACTCATTAGTTACTATGTTCAGACCGTTCTTGGCACAGTTTCAAAAGGGTTAAGTAAATGGCGCTTAAGGGTATGACCATCTTTCTAAATAATTTGATTAATAATTCACAAGCATCTTAAGCATTGGAATTTGATTGCCTCGTGGTATTAAATGCCAGTCCTGACAGAGCAGGACACTTGAAGCGATGCATACATCAAAAAACGTCCCCAAAATCAGCTTCATTTCCCCCCCTTACACACTTCAGTTATGACATCAGTTATAAGGAGCTCGCTACAGAAACGTGTCATTGGCAACTAGTGATACTTTTCAAGGTGATCAGTAAAGAACACAGATCAGAATTTAGATTGTAGGAACAAGACAAATTATTTCAATAAATAAGGAGAAATTCCCTTCTATATCTGAAATAATAAAGAAAGAAAATATTCTGGACATTGCTTATGGATGCTCTCTGCTTTTATATATTGACAGTGTGTTTGGGTTTATGTTAATTTCTGTTCAGTTTCAGCTCTAAGGGATATAATTTGAAGCATGTCTGTGTAAATCGAGAAGCTTTTTTTCTTTGTTTGTTGCAGTTTCTGCCTTTGACCAAAAGCAGTTATGGGTAAAGAGGATTAACTGTTTTGTTTGTTTCCTAAAACAATCACTTGGAGACAGTTTGGTATATCTGTGCCTCGTTAAGAGTAATATCATTTTTCAAATAACTGGACAGGATATCTAGAGTTTTTGTTTAGTTTGGTTTGTTGATATAATAAGATTATAACAATAGAGGAGAGCTTAACTTTACACCTTCAGTACGTTTGAAGGCTTTTCATCTTCACTAAGAAAAGTAAAAGAGCTTGCTTCAATTTTCTAAAATTTTAAAGCAGAAAGCCTTCCTCCATATAAGATAATTTTCTTCACTTATATTTGCAGCTCCTTTTAATGCAGATGAGCTCAAACCCATTTATCTCCTCCTACCCACTGGGAGCTTTCTCCATGTATGGAAAAGTTGGAAAGCAGGCAGGAGACTAGTGTTTAAAAACACAGGCTCGCCTATTGCTCTTTGTGATTGGATAAGCCTTGCTGCCCCCTTTGCAGCAACGATAAACTCATCTATATATGGCCTGTGAAGAGTCTGGAACAAAACAGTCAACAAGTAAGAGCTGGAAGACTACTATTTTCCAGAATATAAACCATGAAAACAATGTGATTGTTCTAAAATACCAGTCTATCACAGCCTTTAGTCCAACGTGGCCTTTACTTTCCTGGTAGGCAGACTTGAGAAGAAAAAACATTGATAAACGAGCAGGCAGGCAGGCAGGCTTCTCGCTTTCAGCTTCTCAGCAAAATGGTCTTTAACACTACGAGTCTCAAAGCCCAGAGCCTTTTAGCCAGCAACTGACACTGCAATGGAGGACAAGTAAAATCTCAGAGCAAACAGACACATTGCAACTCTGAATGGTTTGAAAGTATCCCAGGGAATATCAAAATGGAGCAATAGTGGTTTGCTTCACCTCTAATAAGATAGCATTCTGTGGAAATGTAAAGAGTTCTGTCCTACACAGAAAATGCAGAGTTCCCTTTTTACCACCTTCCTCAACGCAAATAGCTGGAGAGAGAAATTCACATCTTCTCCTCGTTCAGATCGTTTGGTCTGTTTGCATCTGCTTCTTCAAATACAGATGAGCCTCTCCTCTTATCTCATTTTGCCCTCCCCTTCCTTCGCCTTTTATGGCGCTGGCTGTATTTGATCACTTTAAGAAGAGAGTAGTCATGAAGGCTCAGAAAGAGAAACAGACAGTGAAGAGATGTTTTCCCTCAGAGAAATGACTGACACAACAAGTTAAACCTAAAAAGATCAAACATGAACTTATTTACGCCCGTCATAAATCAAAACACAGCTTGTTGGCACTGTATGTTCGTTCTAAACGTTGAATTTCCCCCTGCTTTTCACATT